CACATTTCAATAAATTAGATTACCATCAAAGAGGGAGACTCATACATTATACAAAGAGTGATACAATTTCAAGCACTTATTTCAGTGCATTTTGATGATTATAGCTTATTAAAATAAATAACAAACTCAGTTTCTCAGCAAATGAGAACATTATAGGAACAGAATAGAAAAAGTATATGATGCAAACATGTTAAGGTTTATCCAGTAGGCATCTTATTAGTCAACAAACTCCCCTGACCTTTAACCCCACAGAGAATCACAGGGCTGTTGCAGGTAGTTTTAGATTTTGAGCTAAATTACTGAAATTATTTATTTTCCCGACCTTAATTTACTGAGAACCTGCATTTAGATCACAAGGCGCTTACTGGAAACCGTTAGCTCCCATTAGCATTCAGACGGCTCGACAATCATCCGGTTCAGCAGTTATTGTTTCCTCTTCTATATATTTAGTAATATTTTAATATTTGTGTATTCAATCTAATTTTCACATTTTCTATTTGTACCAGTAGCACATGCATGTATGTGCACTCAGTGTTTCAGTATTTTTCTGCATACTCCTCTATCCAAGCAACATTTTGCTGCCAAATTCACGGTATCTTTCTACAGTGACAGTCAGTCTACATCTACCATCTATGCTCTGCTGAGGTCATGATGTCAGATGTTGGTCCAAAGATCTGAACTTGTGACTCTGAGAGCATCTCAGACTGAACCATAAAAAACAAAGAGACCAACTGCTTTTACTTGCATAACATTCACATTTATTTGGTTTCAAGTCCTAAAACATTCTAAACATGCTTTAAACACGTAATGGATCACATTCTTCACAGGTAGTTACAGTAATGAGAGCAGACAAAAGATTTCTGAAGAGGGAGAAAAAAAAAAGACGTTCCATAAATCTATTCAATCGTGTAAATGTATTTAATCCCTGAGATTTGTCATCATTCATTCACTCCTGCACACCATGCTCCTGTTCACAGGTCATGTCTGGGTCACAGCTCAGTTTCAGATTCCAGGAGTCCCCGGCTTCATGAGAACATCAGACCCAACAATGAATACTTCATTCACACTGTAATGTGGGCTGCATCACTAGTGACGCCTGGCACTTTGAATGTGAGGATATCTGCAGGGCGGAGCTGAGGCCTTCGCGGGCCCCGTCCCCGCCCCGCCCCACCCAATGGCGTCACCGTCCACATCATCAGAGGTCTGCTCAGAGCGGGTCTGTGCTCTCGTGCCACGGCGCCAGGGTCACATGAGAGCGCCGCCGCACGTCAACACCAGGAGAGGTCAGTTTGACCACAGCTCCATTCTCTCATTGATAATCGATCACAAGCAGCATTGACAGAGTCAGATATGATAGCGCTCTCTGTTGCCTTGAAGGAACAATAATCAGGGAACACAATGGGGATTAAAAAATAAACACAAACACACACACACAGAGGCGTATCATGATGTGGAGAAAACAATGCAGCCGCCGGCATGATAACGCTCTGATACAGTGCATGTGGCACCGCCACTGACGTTCTTTCATCTCCGGCCCGGATTCATGACGAGAGGGCAGGAGTTGGAATATGAGAGGACACCAATTTAACAGAAACAAAGCAAAAACATAAAAGGAAAGTCAAGGGGCACAAGGGACTCTGGGTGTTTTCAAAATAAAAGCTGCCAATGAACAAAAGGAGTGTCTGAGGTAGAACGTAAGGAGAGGTTCGATGTGTGTTCGGATTTAGGAGTTTGATATCAACACGAGTGAAATCAACACACAACAGAACAGAATGTTGTAGTGAATGTAATAAATAAGAAAAGCACAATGACAACTTCGAGAGGTAGTTTCAGCACAGAAATGATGAATGACTTCTCCCTCGCCTGTACAGTCAAATCACAAAAACAGGAAAGAGAAAGAAGCCTTTGTCCAGAGAGAGCAGGAGGTCAGAAGTCAGGCAGCGATGTGGCTGCTCGGGTACTGTCTGATCTGGACTCTGATCGCTGGTCAGAGCGTTACCGAGGTGACGTGTCGATGGAACCTTTTCAGACAAGCTATGTTTGACACTCCCTTTCTGTGCAGACAATAAGTTGATGACGGTGAACGTGTTTGAGAGGCAGTTAGTCGACTGAACTTCCCTTCAAAAAACACTCGCTGTTGCTCAGGTTTGTGTTGACAGAAAGTGGTTTATCCCTGAGATCATATAGTGGAAAGAGTCAGTTGGTTACAGAGATGTCTTCTGTCCAAAGGTGAATGACGCAGAACAAAAGCTGCACAGATAAACCTGAGCTAGATAAAAACAGCTCCTCCATGCAGCTAAACACTATTAAAGAAACAGAAAACAAAGAGCTTGGCTGCAAAATAAGCACATATTTATGATGGTTTATGAACCATTGCAAGTTGAAATATAGGAGTCGTAAATTTCTGCCGAAAAAAAAAAAAATCAGAAATTTTTTAGATTAATCTCAGAATTTTTGTCTAGAAAAATTAAGACTATAATGTCTTAATTTTTCTAAGAATTTTTAAGACTAAAAATTCTCAGTTCTTTTTCTTGAAATTTGTTTTTCTGTTTACTTTTTTCATTGTTTCTTCTGGAAAATTGCTGACATTAATCTAAACGTTTCAGAGTTACTGGGCAGAAAAGTAATGCTTTGTTGTTCTTTTCTCCCTACAATGGCCCTAATGTGCTGCAGTATATCTCTAATTCCTGAGGTAGCCGACACAATTTTCCAGATCACTCAAAACGTAGAAACAGGCCACATATTTAGAGGAAAACATTCTAAACAGAAAATCTCCAGAGCCGTTCCTTTCTGAGTTCTAAACCACCGACTCCTTCAATGTGATGAACGAGACAAGGGAAAGAGTTTGGTTTGAAAATCTTTTTAAAACTTCTGAGTATGATGGAGATCGCTTTGACCCACTGCCAAAAAAAAAAACTGTGAAAAGAAAAGAAAGCACAACAAATGAAAAAAAACCCTGAAAACATTCGAAATAACTAGAGGAAAACACATTTCACACAGCAAGGCTGGAGCAAGGCTGACTGGAGGAGGACAGGTGGCATCTGTCAGACGTGGGGGAGGAGGTGAAGAGGACCCCCACCCCGGTCCTCCCCTCCAGACTACAACCACTGTCTCTCAAAGCTTGGGTGAAATACTGTGACAAAGGGAAGAAAAAAAAAAGAAATTTTCTACAAGAGGACCTACGATGTCCCCAAACCTACATCTACTAACACTACAGGTACATCAGCACAGTCACTGAGGAACTCCTGAATGCAACATAAAACACTCACTTTACCCTGTTTAGATCCAGGTCTGCAGGGACCTGCCAGAGGAACACACTGGGAGGGCAGCAGCCATGGTCAAGTGTCCAGGTCTCTGAACCTCATCGGTGTGTGCAAAAAAAAAAAAAAATTAAAATAAAGAAATAAAAATAAAAAGGAAAAAATTACAACAACAAAAAAAAAAGTTGTTGCAAGAACAGCATCTTCCTGCGCTTCTAATTGTTCGCATAATGTGAAACCGCGAAAACCCTGAAGAATTCACAAGGAAATATTCAAGCGGTCAGAAATGATCATCTCACATTTTAAAAATAAAGACCTTTTTTTTTTTCTATGGCTATTCTTTTAAAACAATGTGCATATCTGTCCCAAAGGCTCATCCAGACGCGGGTCACCTAAATTCCATCACTCAGCGTTGGTTCTTTAAGACGTGTGCCGCCGTCATGAGCTACAATACTACTCACGTTCAGGTCAAAAACTTCAAGGTGTTGATCAGAAAAATATGATTGATCAAATGTTGCATTCAGTGCTAGCTGGAATCCAGAAAGTTCTGGTTTTACTTGTGAACAATCAGGAGTTTTAGTTACAGTTGGAGATTTTCTCCCAACTACAAAATCAAAAAAAGAGAACTACAGGAAGAGAGCAAATTGAGATTTGTTTGTAGCTTCTTTAATCTGCTGTAAGGATTTTACTGCAAGATCACGTTGCTGGCAGAACTCCACCAACATGACGAGGCTCTACTGAACCAACTGCTCTGACTGCAGCCCATTTGTTGATTTTTCAGAACTAAGTGAAAGCTTCCACATGAAGGCAGTGTTGTTTGAAACTTGTGAGACTGAAGCCACTTCCTGCAACTAAAACATGGCTCTGATAAGCAGCAATGAGGTGGAATTTTGGGGACCCACTTGTCTGCCTGGCTGAGGGTCTCTCCTCTGTTACATATTGATTAATTTCTTATCACCATCCTTCATTGATAAGAAAGTTATCCTTTATATATATTCATTCTTTGTTGAGCTGTCAGCTCCATACCCATTAGTGGGTGTTTGAAGAAAGCATTGCATAACACTTTGGTCTAGAAAGAAAAGTGAAACAAAAACAGCAAACCTAGCTACCCTCCCCTTCCCCTGCAATAAAGCCTCACATCCCTAGTCTATGATTGTAAAAAATACCCGTATGCTCCTTTTTCAGTGATCCCACAGATCCAACGGCCAACTTAACTCATGGAATGTTAAACGGACAGGACCGCCTCCCGAATACAGGATAACTGAGAGTCCATGCATATAAAGTAGCTAAAATTCTGCTAATGGATTTTGCATTTTCAGTGCAACACAACACTGATGTTTCTAAAGTCTGATTTCTGCAGCTCATTTTAACATTCAGTCTCTGATTGAGATGTCAAAGCATCCACAGGTTTGATTTTAGACCGGGCAACTCTTCATTTCAAAGCAAGAAAAGGTACCTGAAAATAGCAACAACATCTTCCTGAGGTAGTCACAAATCACAAATGTGTCCTGCTGCCCTGTCTGAATAAAATAAGCTCTTTTAAAGTCTAGTCTAACAATGGCAACGGCGACACATTGAGCAAACTGGATATACACTTGTAAACTCCAAAGACCAATGCATCTTTGAGCATTTGTTTTGTACAGAAGATGTGCACAGTGTAAATCAGCATACATTCAGCTCTGTCGTGTAATAAATATATAAAGAAAAATATTACAAAAAAAAAAAAGAACTAGCTGCTTGTCACATTCACAGGAGGGGAGACCGGTCCCTAGGCTCGGCAGTCGGGATAGGTTAGTTTCCAGAGGGGGCGGTCGCGCAGGGCGACGGGCCGGTCCGGTAGCTGGTCAGGCTGGATTTGCAGGAGTGCAAGACTGCTTTAAACAGGAGGGGGAGCTGCTCCAGGGGGACGTTCACCAGCTTCCCTGGGAGGACAACCACACAGAGGCAGGTCAAACTCAGAGACACAACATCACATCCTCAGCTTTTAGGCTTAGGTCCAATTTATCCTTCAGCACCTTCCATGACACAAGAGCAGGTTAAACAGAATCCTTGGATCTATGAGCAGATGTCAGGAATAAGTATCTCATCTCCAGGTAGAAAGGCCAAAATTATTTCACAATAACAAGCCAAAAAAGTGCTTTGCTACCAATTGTCAACACTATGACATCTAGACATTAAGGTCTGAAAAAAGTTTTGGCGAGGGAGAAGAAGGTACTTCATGCTTGTAGATGTAGATGTGATGTGGACTTTGGTGTGTTTGGGTTCAGTTTCAAAATAACAAAATGGCAACCTGCACTTTGGAGATACAAACAAATCAAATGTTTCAATTCACAGTTATTAAAAATGTTTTGTGATAATATTCTACATAGCAGAAACACACACACATCTTACATATATGATTAACTTGATTGGTCAAAGAAAAAAATCCTCCAATTTCACTAACTTCAACATATAAAAAAATTTACTTTATTTCAGCTACACAGATCAATAAGTCCTTGAGCCAGTAGGAAAAGTAATTATCACAATAATTAAATCAGCTTGTGTAAAGTTAAATGACCTTCCTATGCAATTTAAATGTTTGAACATAATATAAATAATAATCACTTAACTTTCTGTAGGGAGTCTTTTCTCCTTAAAGTTAATTAGAACTTTTTTTTTCAAAACTGTTAGAATATCAAGACGTTTCCAGATCTTGAAACCATTATCCAGGGTTTCTTCAAGCACCTCAATGACCCTTTTGTTTACAGTCAGTTAGGCAAAATGTGGGTATTTTAAATCTGATGCTGATAACATCTGAATTTGCAGTTGGCGTGTTCCTCTCCCTGATGGCAGCATTTCCTGTTTTTCAGAGCCATGAATTAATTATCAAAAGTAATTTGTGACTTTTATCATCCACAGATCTGATGCTACCCTCATTCCCAAGAAACCCATCCTGACTGGCAGGATCAGAATGAGGGCTCTTTTGTTCTTGGCTTACAATGTAGGATGGCTGCTGATTATGCTGTTATGCAACTTTTATAAAAAATATATTTATTAGTAAAAGATATACATGTAAAAGACCTTTGCATACTTGTTAAACTGATAATAATGTCATGACAGTATAGAATAAAACAGACAATCTGAAAAAAATTGAGCTCTTTTGTCTTCTTGCAGCTCTTCCACTTCTAACTGCAGAAATACATCACTCAGACTGAGGCAGCCAACCAGAGCCAGGAGGAGGGTCTTAGAGCTGCCAATCACTTTGTCCTGCTTGCTCTTTTCTGCGCAGTTTTTTTCATAGTTTTGACTTATGGGTGGAAATTAACACATCATTATATTATATCACTTTATTTTCACACTAAACCTAAGAGGGCGCTCTAGGCCTGTGTTATTCTACTTTTGGAATTAGCAGAGTTGTTTACAAGCGACACCAAGGACAAAGATTTCATTGCATCTAGCGATTTGGAGAGACACGGATGGTTTGGTAAACTTAGCATGTTATTTATGCTGTAGTTATCTGAATAACTCTTAATATGTTATGCTAACATACCAGGCACATGTTTGTCATATAACGTTATACCGTACAATTCTTCAGCCTGTTGTTGCCTCTGTTCTATTTTTATTGCCTTTCAAGATGACATGTCTGTTCTTTGTGTTGGATTTCATCAAATAAATTTATACTTATACTCCGGAGCAACTTATAGTCCGGAAAATACGGTATGCAACTTTTTCCCGCTGTGAAAGTGAAAGAAAAAAAAATAATAATAATTTTTATGGTTTATGTAGATAACATTTCTCCAATTGAAGTCGGAAAGGCTGTGAACGAGAGGATTTTCATTCTTGTTTTTTTTTTTCCAAATAAGTTTTCAACATTCTTTTGATATTTTTGTATCTTTATTCTGATAAAATTTAATCATTTAAAAGAAATCTCATCTGAAACTAATACTTGTAATAATAGCAGGTATTTATTCAGTCAATTAACATGGAGAATACAGGTAGCTTTAAATCCCACACGTTGCAGCAGTAGTTCAGTGTTCACATTGTTTCTCTGCCATTACGACATTGAGTATATGATATTGACTGACAGTGCTAAGCCCCTCCTCCTGGCTCTGATTTTGACTGGGAAGTGTGCATTTCTTCAGACAGAAGTAATCAGTATCCCTTTTCCCAAATTATCGGCATCATACTTTAACACAGGTCACAGTTTTAACAAATATAGAAAAAAACATAATTGTGTAAAAGTTACATTCAGCTTTAGGTTAGACCCTTTTCTCTTGAATTCGGATCTAGAAGTGTGTTTGAGGAATCACGTGTTGCCCTCTGGCCTTACCTGCGATGCAGCGGATCTCGGGCAGACACATCATGATCTCAGGAAAGCGCTTGGGCTGGTGTGGGTACTTGTACTCGGTGTAGTCCTGGCACACGTACCAGTAGCGCTTGTTCAGCTGCTCCAGCTGGGAGACGTTGGACAGTCCTCTGATATCTGGACAGAGACAGCAGCGTTATGGTTGTGTGACGTGGTCAAAATAGTTTGGACTCAATGACAACAGACAGCTGCTCTTCATCACCTTGGTTGAGGAAGTTGATGGCCTTCATACAGGCGTACTCCTCATTGCTGATCTTCAATTGATGGAACTTACGAAACAGATATATCAGCCTCTCCATCACTTCCATCCCATCTTCACTGAAGCTGTGGGATCACACAAACACACTTGACAGTTGGACAGAAAAGCTTGAAATGGTTTTGTTTCTCTACACAGAATCTGTAAAAATGACAGCATTTTTACAGATCCAGGAAAACGTTTGGATATTTTTACTGCAAGACAAACGCTCACAGTATTTTGTGTGTTTCAGAAAAGAGGGAGGATTCTGTTAAATCCACTCAAAGAACTGAAAACATCTCGTTCTCCCACAGATCTTTGGAGGAAATAGAAACATTCATGAAGTTTAATTTTCCTCATCATCGCCTCCCTGATTCTGTGGCTCTTAAACTCCTAATCTCTATGACAACGTTAACCATCGCTGCTGTAAATCAACCCCCCTGCTGAAAGCTCTAAACTCAAAGGAAGGCTGTCTGGAGCGGCACAGCACCACCATATATCACAGGGATGTGTGTCATAAAGTCAGATAATTCAAGTGTGATTTACACATTCACCTCCACCCTCCTCCGGCCCTCATCCCTTTCTACCTGCTGTGTTTTTCTCATGCTAGACAGTGCTAGTCACAGCTCTGGCTCGGGGAGTCTTCCTGTTCACAGATTCCTTCTCTGGCGCTTCACCAAGAAAAATAATGTCCCTGCTGAGAGACGCAGGGCTCCCAGAGCAGAACGACTCGCCTCTGTAACGTGGAACATGGAACTCCTAATATCTACATCCTTCTTGGTGAATCATTAGGGCAGAAGTCCTGCAGGCTACCTGGAAAAGCCAACATGTTGTGTTTGCTAACAGCCTGCACAAGACAGCCGTGGGAGACACTGATTATTGTAATGAGTTAGATTAAACACACACACATGCATGCACACAGATAGCCTGCAGACGAAGCAGCGTCGTCTGAAGGCTCCTCCGGTTAAAGCATTTCATGTCCAGTAAATACAGAAACCAAGTTTAATTGTGCTACTGTTTGGCTAAGAAGACAGTGATTTAAAACAAAACTGACAAGGAACAGCTCAGCAAAACTATTATTGAAGTGAACATTAGCAACTGTATAAGGTATGGAGCATGAAGTAGAGGCTATGGAAAAAAATGTGATTATGAGAATAAAGTCATAATAACATGAGAAAAAAGTAAACGATACAACAATAAACTCGTGAGCAGAATAAAGTTATAATATTAGTAGAATGAAGTGCTAATTTTAGAGGATGCAGGCGAAACTGAACATGGCGAACTTATGATTCAATTAGGACTGGGACTTTTAACACATTCATTATGAATTATTTTCAAACATTAAGGGTTGGGACATTTGGGATGTTGGTGGTTTGCCCCACAATTGGCATGTTGCAGGTTCGATCCCCATTGCCTTCGTCATTGTGGACTTGGGTAAGAGACTTCACCCGCCTTGCCTGCTGCTCTTGGTGGTTAGAGGGCCCAGTGGCCCCAGTGCACAGCAGGCTGATCTTACCTTTGCTCTGCCCTACAGCAGCTGTGTTTACCAACAGTAGCTCACCAACATCAGTGTGCGAGTGTGTGTGAATGGTGAATGACTGAATGTAGTCTGAAGCGCTTTGAGATCCTCTGGACTTGATAAAGCGCTTTACAAGTACAAGCTATTTATCATTTAACAGCACTGTGGAATATAAATACATGTCATTCAACTTAGTTATTTTTACATATTTGTATGAGAAAAAAATGACTTACTTTAATAATAACTGTATAAACAAAATAGTGAGCAATGCCTTCTGGGGATGTTCCATGATTCCTATATGATTCCTTCACTTGTTTTTATCAGAGGTAGTTAGAGGGACATTTTTAGGTCATTTATATGCTCCCAGTACATGCCAGGACCTGTGTCAGGATTTCTATTTCAACCTGCTGACTGTTTCACAAGAAAATCATAAGGAAGAAAATATATATTTGCAACTTTGGAAACTGTTCTAGTGTCTTTTTTTACATATCTTGTATGCAAAGTATTCCCACTGAGAACAACATTTTTTTATTGTATATCAAGAATTAAAAAAAAGAAGTAAATTTTTATGGAGAACAGAATTTTATATTCTATATGAATAGAATATTAATAGAGGGTAAATGTTTTTCAATGTTGGATTTCATTTTGACCTGTACTTTTCCAAAGCAGGAAAATATTAAAAACAGCTCCCACATTTTCAAACATAGATAAGAATCCTGTTGTTCTGTTCCTGTTTTTAACACAATATGTGGTTTGAAGACTGATAAGCACACCGCTGGCTTTCTGCTAACCTTGCCTTCTGGCAGAGGACTGGGTGTTCTGGGTGTTTGTTTCACACAACACATTCAAACTGAAGCAGCTGACTGCTGCAGCTGGGAACCTGGTTCCAGACAGAACTGAAGCTGGAACACAACAGATACTGTCCTATGTTTGTAAAACCCTGTAGATTTAAGGGGGTCAGAAGTGATTGCTCCCTTTGACATCTTTGATATTGTACAAACACTAGTTATGTCATTTCATCACCAATACTGCAGACATTATGTTCTAGTTTAGGCCGGTCAGGCTCTTCTTTTCAAATGCAAAAGATAAAACAACTTTACACCAAACATGAATAAAGGTTACTCCTGCTCAACACCTCTCCACGCCACTCACCCCTGCAGCTCATCATCAGACGGCGTGTACTTGGCAGTGACGTCGGCCAAGTCTCCGAAGATCTGGGCGCTGTAGATGGTGAGGCAAGACAGCAGGATGAGCTCCTGCCAGGTGGAGCTGAGCAGGCAGGTGTAGTCCTCTATGGACAGCTCGCAAAAGAAAGGCAGCTTCTTAATCCAGGAGATCTGACGGAAGAGCAGCTCATCCGCCAGGCGACACAGCAGGGCGAACAGCTCCACCTGGGTTACCTTGTACCTGGGATACACCAGGCAGAGCGAAACATGATGTCACACTGCTGCTGAACAGCTGCCACGCCCCTCACAGATATCTTCTGGTTTTGCTTTATTCTTACACTTTGTTTCAATTATCAATTCCATAAACAAAGACATTTCTTTATAAATAGAAATGATGGTTCTATTTATATAGGGAATAAATTAAATATCCAAATCCAGATGGCTCTATGTGAAAAACTAATTCTAACAACTGGCCAGGTCATCCTCTGTAGCAACAACAACCAATCAAGTGTTTTCAAACCAGGAAGTCAGCTTTTACATCTCTGTCCTTTGTTGTTTTCATGGAGCATCGTTGGAGGGTTTCTGAATTAATGGTCTGCTAAAGGTTAGCGTCATGTCACAACATCTCAATTGGACTTAAGTCCAGACTTTGACTAAGCCATTCAGTTTACAGAACGCTATCCATAACTTGAAGAAGCCAAGCAGCCTTCCACCATCACACTATTGCTAGGCCTCTCATGGTAATACATTTTCCTGGACGATAAAGTGTTCCAGTAATTATTGTGATAAATGATAATAAAGTCACACACAATATGTTCTCAAACATCTTAATGAAGATCAATAAAACATCAACTGGCTTTTGTGATCTTTTTGATGAGCAGAGGTTTTCAACTTGGAAACGTCCATGGATGCCATCTTTACTCAGTCCCGCTTTCTTTTGAATCCTCAACTCTGACTTTAGCTGATGGAAGTGAAGTGAGCAGATCTTTAGGTGTTTTTCTTGGTTCCTCTATGACCTACTCCATGATTCCTCCATATGTGAGGAGAGTCATCAATCCAGGGAATGTTCTCCACTGTTCCATGTTTTCTCCGTCTGTCAATAACAGCTACTGCTGTGGCTCTCAAAGCTTTAGAAATTACTTAACCGTTTTCAGAGTAATAGATTTGAGTGACGTTTTAATCTATGTGAAATTTACACAGAAAGTGGGAGGCCTGGGTTGGAGCAAAACAGAACAAATCTGTGACTTCTTATAGCACTGAAATTGTTGTGCAGTCAAAGACTCACCCGTCCTCTATGAGCATTGGGGTGGTGAGGGGGGACAGGTCCTCAGCAGCCACAAGCTGCAGCACCAGAGGGTGGGACTGTGGGTAGACGCTGCGGGGCTGTGGGGTCAGCAGGCCTGACTGGGCTGCGTAGCTGAACAGGTGAGGCAGGAGTTGGTAGTGTGTGGACATGGAGGTGTTGATGTACTGGTCCCTGAGCGCTGCAGTGTAGCCGTTCATTTCTACGGATCGACTGGGAGAATGAAAAGAGTCCGCAGGTCAACATGGAGAACATAAGTCAACTGTTTAAGTCAGGATATCTGCAAGTTTCAAATTTAAGATGTTTTAAGACATTTTTAATACCAAATTAAATTAGAGACTGAAAAACTATAAACATACAGTATGTTTGGGGGATCCTGCTGTATTATAATCAACCATACCAAATGTCATATTTCTAGGGACTCTTTGTGGTCAGCAGCTTTCTGATTCGCACACAACACATGGATCTCTACAGCCTTATCCCTCCATAGTGCCAAGCTAACAACACTTTTTTTTGGCAAAGAATGCAGTAGCATAAACAAGCACTGTCCAGAAAACTGCCAATAACTTAGTCCTTACCCATGACAGACGCAAAAATTCTACCTACTGCAAGCAAAGACATACCAGTAGCGAGTTAGCAGTAGCCTTTAGGAGCCTCAAGTTACACACAGAATTTAATGAGGACGTTTGTTCACAACTGAAAACTTTTGCCTGACAGAAGACGACTTATATGAGATTAAACAGTTTTGCTACAATACAATTTGACACCTGTGATTGATATATTTAAGGACAACTTTCATTTTTTAAACAAATTTAAGACATTTTAAGGCCTTAATTAATTATACATAAATTTGAGACGTTGTAGGGATGTTTGTAGACCTTGTATGTACCTTCATTTGAATGAGGTGAGCCAGTTTCAGCTAAAACTGACCCCTCACTGGTCTTAGATCTTGATCTCTCCTGTTTTTATTGAAAAACTTTGAACTGTTTCACAACCTTCCAGAAAAAAAAAATTACATTTTGTGCATACTGAGGCACAGGCTTTCTGGAACTGTTGTTCATTTCTGCTAAGATTCACTCAGATAAAACAATTATTGCTCTGAATAGCTATCAGACAATGAGAATGCTGAGATAAACCGACTGTTTACACAGAATGAGACTAAAATAAATGCCGTCATGCGGGTGCCTAGACAATATTTGTCCTTGATGAGTGCAGACGACGCGCTTGACTACGCAGCCAGAGAAGCAGAATGTGCAGCAAGTTCTCAGAGTTTGTCACCGTCACCAAGCCTAAGCGAAGAGGGGAATGTTCAGGCATTCTTTGGCTGCTGAATGCCTTCGTTAAGTTGTGGGTGAGAAAGTGTTAGACTGTCAGGGCCGGCTCATTATCTCAACGATGGGGGCAAGTGCTGGCACCACTATGCAAAGTGGGTAAGCTGATCCACTCACTTGGACGACAGAGTGGAGGCAGGGGACGGCTGGTTGCCCTCAGAGGCTCCATTGCTGGGGGAGCTGTGGTCACTGTCGCCGTTGTTGCCCCAGGTGTGCTCCGGGGCGTCCTCCTTGAACTCCTGCCCTGACATGATTCGCTCTATCTCCTCTTCTGTTATCTGAAACACACAAATAAACCCGCTTACAGAACGCTCAATGAAAATCTGTGTTTTTCTCAGCTTAATTGAAAAGCGGTGACTGGCAGTGTGATGCTTTTTACTCAAGCGGCGAGGAGCAAGGACACAATCGCACAATGAAACAGGGAACTAGAGGAGAAAGAGAATGTGTGTGTGTGTGCGTGTGTGTAAGATAGTGTTCAACTGAGTGGCACGCAGGCCTAAAATAATAGGATCCTTGCAGGTCAGAGCAGCCAGAAACACAAACAAAGGTGTCGATGAAAGGCCTCAGCACATGGGGTATCGCAGAGATGACTGGGGTCAATTCACTTTCACTTCCATCAATTCAGCACGTAAACCAAAACAGGCCATTTATTTCATATTAATGAGTGAAAGGTCCTCCTTCCGGTGAGGGGCAGAAATAAATGAGTTTTTTTTTTTTTTTTTTTCTAATGGAAGTGGGCGCTGCTGTGAATTGAGCAAGAAAGAATCGAACATATCACTTTGGTGAATAAGGCCTCAGCGCCACTTATTCTCGTGTCCACTCAGCTTCTCTCACTCTCCTCCATAATGAAGCTGCGGCTGAATAGGAATAATCAGCAGCTGCATGATTGGTGATATAACAAGGTCAGGGCTCGTTCTCATAACTCCACGAGCGTCCATACGGTGAAACGAGTAGTGATGCACTACTGAGCTGCTCTGACCCTTACAAGCTGTCATTTAATGAATGGTTCAGTCTTTAAAGAGGCTCTCTTTATGCCAGGTATTTCTGGGGATAAGAATTGTGTGTAGAAGTGGTTCAGTGTTGGACTGAGGTCAGAGTAAGTCACATGAAGTAACATTTGAGTTGATTTACCTGCACAGGCCCGATGCTTTTGTTCCTCCCTCCTGGCATGCCGTCCTCCCTGATTGCTGTAAGCCACAAAAAAGATAAATAAAAAAACAAAACATAACCCACATTTGTTTATATGAGGTATAAACAGTAAGTATAAGAGCACTACCTTGTGGCAAAAATAGGATTTTTTTTCTCTGGCTCTGGTTTTCATCATAAGCCATGGATGACTTTCATTTCTTTTTCTTCCCTATTTCTGAGTGAAATCCACTTGAGGAAATTCCCTATATGATTTAAAACTATTTTGGATTTAGTTAAAGTTACTGCAGACCCAATATAAACTAAAAAGTTAATCTTTCAGGAAGCCCATTTAGTTAGTAAAACTTTTACCCCACTAGGGGGCAGCATGAGGCCATAAAAAGCCTCAGGCCTGGGTTCAGCTGCAAACCCCCAAAATCTGAGGCATTTCTGCTTCATGAAGGGAAAAATATAACAAAAAGCTCAGGGGAGGTTTGCTTGGTCTCTAAGTTCAGATTGAAGCTGTGAGGAACATGAAGAAACAGTTTCCTGGCTTTAAGATACATATTGTTAAGGTTTTAGGTTTATCCCCAAAAGTTCCCTCACTGCTACAAAAGAGCTGGTGTAAAAGGTAGTTTGTAGCTGGTTCTATAACAAGAAACCAGATTAGTTTTCTTTAGCCAGACACCCAACAACAGGCTGTCATCACATGACCCAAAACATCTCCTCCTGTAAATGTTTGATGGGCAGGGTCACAGGCCAGGAAGAAAGTTTATCTACAGAGTCTTGTAACCTCAGCAAACATAAGTGCTAGCTAGCATCACCAGCATCATTTTTAACCATCATTATGTTTACAAATCTGCAAGCGAAAGGTCTTCTTAATGTAAGTCAAAATTTCACATCCAAATTAAATGCAGTTTCACGGAAGAATAATATAGACTAGCTGGTAATAAAAGAAACACAGAATAGGCATGAAAAAAAAGGATCAGATTCCTCGTGACGAATCAATTACTGAAATAATTGTCAACTAATTTACAAGTCAGGTACTTATTAACTGTATCCAGATTCAAAGTCCATTTGCTGGGCAAACACAGTCAGAGTAGTAATTAAGCCAAAACTGTACAATATGTATACATTTTGCATTTAAGGTAAAAAAAAAAAAAAAAACTTAATATGGTATTCCCTAAAGAAATTTTGTTATTGCATTTAGGAGAAATAAAATATTTTCTTATATCAAAAAGGATTTGATTGACTTTTTCTACATATTTTATTATATTTATATGTATAAACAGTCAAATGAAAAATCAACAGAATGTGCCATTTTTTTATCCAATCAATCAATCATCAGAATAGTTGATTATTAAAATAATTGTTAGTTGCAGTTCTAACTCAGACACTGTTTATAAACTAAGAGAAACTAAAGGCTCGGTACTATGTGCATTTGCTGGGTAGTCCAACTGTAAAAATATTTGAATATTCTTCTACTTTTATTTACATCAGATAATATATTTGCCTAAACTGACATGATCTTTGTTTAGATTTTCCTTACCTTTGCGGTTCATCCCCATCTGCAGACACTTGAGCAGACGACAGTACTGGCAGCGGTTGCGCTGCTTGCGGGACATTTCGCAGTTCTTGTCCCGGCTGCAGCGGTACACCCGCTTGTTGCAGATGCTGCGCTTGAAGAAGCCTTTGCAGCCTTCGCAGGAGATGATGCCATAGTGCAGACCTGTGGCGCGGTCTCCACAAATAAGGCAAGTACGCTGGTCAGCTGCATCATCTGCACATTGAGTTTGGGGGGGATAACATTTAAAACCATTATAACAATACATTTTGCTTCTTTATTCGCAGATACACAAATACCAACTTAATAGTAGGCACTGAAATATTTGTGAAAGACACATTTTTTTAACTGAGATCATGAGAGTTGTTTGGAATTTGGTAAGGTGACCCAAATCCCAAACAGCTAAGACCATGGTTATGTGAATATTGGGCAGTAATAGGAACTCAGATGGAGAACTGAGATGTTTTAGGTATGTTTTATTCAGGAGCCCTGATGACTCAAAACGATACAGCTGACTTCTTCACAGTCTCTGCCTTCCCTTCTATCAGCAGCAGTATGGTAGAAATGCAACAGCCTTTGGGTCACAGAACTGTTCAGCTGTAGAAAAGCTAATCAGTACAAGTCATCCAGATGAGAAGTATAGTTTATTGATTAGGATTTTCATTGGTGGTTACTAATCTTCAATAAAGGCCACAATAAAGAGGGGTGTATTTTAATAATACTTGTAAAAAATGGACATCTCAACACTAAGTATGCAAATCAGAGTTAAGATGTCCATTAAATTAAACATTTCAAAACTGCTTTTTGTATGTTCTTTTTTTAATGATATCTTGATCTGATCTGGAAATTAGTTGGAAAAAACAGAAAAAGATGGAGGGGTAAAACAATTCTTTAGTTGAAACTGGACTTATCGTTTGGATGCCACTGCAGAGCATGGGACGCGAGGCGCATAGGAAACCTGAAAATGTCGACCAAAATACGGCTTCCCATGTTGTTGCCAATTAGCAAATAAGATGTGGAGAAAGAAAATAGGAGACATTTTGTGCAGCAAATCAAACAGTTGCACACGTACAGCAGAGTATGAAGCGGATCAAAGAGAGATGAATCCTGCTTAAAATCCACCGGAAAAGCTACTGTGACAATCAGAAAAGTGCAGTGGAAGTTTAAGGACTTCAGAGGAAGGCAGCTGCTGGAAATGTCTTCTTAATCCCCCTCATCTACCTCCAACTCTGATGGAGCCAAGAATAAAGTTCAGGTGCATATTCTACGTTTCAGAAGTGCAGTTATACATATCCACGACCGCTGCGGCTTTAAACATCTTGGTCTTTCTGTGCCATCTTGCATTCAAATTTGACTTTTTCACACAAGAGATGCTTCATATAAATGCTAAACGTAAAACAACTGAATTAAACTTTTTGACTTCAAGCAAAAAAGAATGAGATACAAGAGGTCTGAGATGTCCTGTGTCTATGATACGTGGAGCTAACCAAACATCTGATTAAAGTTAGACTCTGAAGTGATGCATCGAGAGGCAGTAAACACACGCAGACAATCAGACCTTTACCCGTCTCCTGGATTTTGGAAGGAAAGCCAATAACGGTTTCCTAAACTTTTTTTCCTAAAGTTGACTCTGTAGGCTTCCCGTACCTGCGGTTTCATTAGCGCTGCTGGTTTTAAGCCATGCTTACAGTATAATTTCAGGTATTAGAAAAGTTTCACATTACCAGACCACTGACTGCATGGTGCAGTTAGCAACATCACAACATACCAGGGATTTAAAAAGTTCACAGATTGACAACTGTAAAGATTAATGTCCTTTTAGTAAAAGTCTGTTAATGTACACCGCTGATAAGCTGGAAAAAATAAGGCTTTTATTTTTGGTTGTTACAGAGACAAAGACAGTCGGCATGGAAACGAAGGAGCCTCACCCACCACTCTTCTACAAAGATGGTGCTATGTAGAAGCTACAACAAGAGTAGCATGTTCATAAAGCAGACAGTCTAACTAACTGACAAGCTAATGAAAGCTTATTATATTTTAACTCTGTAAAGAGTATTGAAAACAGGAAAATATTCTGCAAAAAAACAACTATTCATTTAAAGCCTGTCAGAGCAAAGAATATTAAAAGCAGGTTGAAGAGATATCCCCTTCAGGAGAGGCAAATATGAATGCTAGTCCCTCATGTTTTTCATGAGGGACTAGCAATATAACATGATGTTATGCTCAAAAATGCCAATTTCACACAATACCGCTCGTTTAAGTATTTTGATGTTTTTCTGCTTAAAATTACATTTATTTGATTATGTTTAATATTTTTGTGCATTAACCATTTTCTACCCATGGATCTTATTTGAAGTCTATCCAAGGCCCACTTATACCCACAAAATATAAATGATAAAAGTATCTGTAATCCTCATTGAAACAGCAGCATTCAAAGTCAAGGATATCAATGCTTTTTAACTCCTTACTGCTTCTTATATTTAAATGGTAAACATAGCATTTTAGCAACTGTCATCATGGTCAGGAATTTGACCTGTGAACCTTGTGTGTATGGATGAAACAGTTGAGAAATCCAAAACACACAAGGAGGGAGATGCTGCTGTTTGCTTCTCAAGATTCCTAACATTTTGACTGCAGTAAAAAGTTTGACCCCTCCACTCACCCTTCCCTTGAATGAGCTAGGCAAAGGGCACAGTGTTTTAACAATAAACAAGTCAAAATGACATAATCTTTATTACTGAAATGAGCACCGGTAAGCCTTTCTTTCCATGGATGTGTATTATTGAGAAGGACAGTCTACCAGAGGCATGCGACTGAACTCAGAGCTAAGCCCGCCAGAGAAAAGAGGTTTTCATAACAGGCTGTAGGGCTGGTGTACTAAAGCTAACTAGAAGGATGGGGGGGTGAAGGTTTGTGGGGCATATCACATAAAGACCCTCCCAGATAATCCATGAGGACTAGAGGTCTTCTAAAGCCCTGAACAGATTACCATTTAAATGGTTGGAGGTTTAAGTTAAGGCTGTGAGGGGAGTTCTACTGTACAGAGACAATAGGATGTCACACTGAGAGCCCATCCTGGGATTGGAATTTAACTATTTCTCTGATTAACCTCTTACAGAAAGGAGGTTAAGACCATTTAAAAGCAAGTCAGACACTGGATCTGTTCTAGACTCCCTCCTGTATGCTCTGAAAATATGCTGCAACATGAAGCTCTGGGCATAAAGCTGCGGTAATGTGAGTAATGCAGTGTTCCTTTGAGTCAGATCTCGGAATGACACAAGACCAAATTCAACTATGTTCCGATTTCCAGTTAAATGTTGTGGTTGCATGCTTCATGCGTTTCTCTGTTTTCTTGCATCCAAAACTGGAGCAACACCATCACAAAATCAAAATGAGAAGCAGCGACATACACCACTGTGTTAAGGGGAATCTCAGTACAGTCATGTCAGTAATAATTTCACATCTACCTCATAGGCGCCTTTGCTATAGATCAACAGTAACATTTGTGACAGCATCCTGTTAGTATTGCAACAAAGTGTAGCAGAAATAATGTCCTTGTGTCAAATGAGTGATGTACAGGTTGAAATCTCATATAGATAAATTGACAGGCAAAAAACTGCAAAATATTAGTCTGGGAATGATAACACCTAATAGCTGTGTGATCACCATCTGTTGATGGAGATTTCTGCAGAATATTTACTCTCCAACATCTACAGGCTCCTCCAGAAAAGCACACACCATTTCTGACAATTTCTTGTTCCAGGTCTCAGCTAAAAAGTAGGACAAACTCAAGATTTGCACCAACAACTCTGCTACGTATGCAAGCAGGGTTGGTTCACAGAACAGGTGGCAGCAGTAAGTTGACTGAGGATAATGGCTATCTGGCTCCGAAAACCAAAAACCCAGCAAATGCACATAGTTAACCCAGCAAATGCACATAGTTACCCCAGAACTTACTCAGTATTTTCATTTGTCCCTCTTTCTGGAACAGTCTGTTAAATGATACTTATAACGCCACAAAGTCACCAGCTATAAAGAACCAACTATGAGAGTAACCATGGTATTTTATTGTTTATATCTGTGAATTGCATCGACTGCAGTACCTGTACTGAACACAAAGCATCACTGCTGATAATTTAACACAGCTGCAAAAAGAGGTAACAGGACGTACACTCAATATAGAACACATACAGGCTGAATTCACACCAGCTGTCTTTAGTACACTTTAATCCAACTTCAGTCCTTTTGCCTAGAAAGTCTGGTTTATTTGTGAAGGTGTAAATGTGTAATTGAACTCTGATGTGGATCGAAAAAGTGAACTTTGGTCCGCCAATAAACTTAGCTCCCAGTTCGATTAAAGTGAACTCTGCCGTGGTCCAAATGCACATGTGGATGCAAACGAACTGCAGACCGTTCCAAAGACAAGAATAAGACTATAGCGCAGGGAATTCTGGGAAAATACAACAAAAGTAAATGGCTTGTGGTCTTTACCAAAGACAAAAGAGAAATCCTACAACAGCTAAAATCTGACGCTACTCCATTGATGTTTACATTTGTGAAGAAGGAAGTTGTGCTAGTGTTTTTTTCCAAACTTTTTTTTTTTTTTGGAGGGGGAATGGGGGGGGCGATTTTTCAAAGGGTTTTGCTGAACAGTGTTGTTGGAAAGCAAACTGTACCAACTGAAAATTATTCTCACTTAAAATGAATTTAACACCCTTTGATACATTTTTGCTTGACCAAAATATGTGGTACTTTTTAAGTGCTGGTAATCAAAAGCAGTCCACTCATTGCAATTTTGGGTTATCCAGTATAACATGACAAGTTTCTGTTGTGTATTTTTTAAAACTTCATCTTCCATATCTGACTGACAGAGGATTCTGTAGTGACTTTAGAAACAGGTAAACAATGAAGGATAAAAAGCCAAACTTTTGTCTGCCCATAGTGTGCCCTTGCTCAGAAACACAATCCATTCCTATTGAACACCTTATGTGAAACTCCCAACTTCCTTCATCGCTATGGCAATTAGCCTTCCTCTCTCAGGCTTATTAACCAGATGTATGACCCTCTCTTTCAATTGCATGGCCGCCATATAATTAGGCCGATTCACACCTTCACACACTTGATCTCAGCATGTCACCTCCTATGACTCCTCCTCCTCCTGAATTTAGATGACACTTAAATATTCATGACATTAATGTTGAGATTTTATGATGACC